TAAATCATGTGGCCATGGGGATGCTGCAGCAGTCATAAGTGTGAAAAAGGTCATAAATCACTTTTTTTCAGTGTCTTCATAACTTTGAACGGTCAGTAAATGAGCTGTTGTAAGTTGAGGACCACCTGTATTGAACTTTCACTGTTCCAATTTTCCTTGATTTTCTCCAATACTGATTTTATTGGTAGAGTTTAAAAAAAGACATTTGCACTTCGACAACGGCTAAAAAATCCAGCTCCTTGCTGGCAAGAATGCTGCAGCAGAGGAGAAAATCTACAGTATGGGTCTGCACAGAGCAATATGCAGTGCAACCTGACACTCACAAAAGACCTAGCAATAATATACCAAATTACACACACACACACACACACACACACACACACACACACCCTTGTAATAACAATTTTTTAAATTATTTCTATATAACAAAACAACAGTACAGAAGGCTGCAATAGTTCATTCATAAAATACATGGTCTAGATTGAATGGGGGTATTCTCTGCAGAAGAGATTAAACTGACACTAGACCAGTGATGGTGAACCTTTTTCGCCTCAGGTGCCAAAAGCATGCACTTGCATGCTATTGTGTTCATTCGCATGCCCACCCCCATAATTTATTGCCCCCCCATGCCATGACCCTGCGCATGTGCATGTAACCCCCCCCCCACTGCCCCGCGTATGCACGCATGGCTTTCTTGGAGACTGAGGACAGCAAAAGCAGCCTTCCCCGCCTCCCTGGAGGATCTGCAGAGGCCAGAAACGGCCCATTTTCCAACCTCTGGTGGGCCCGGTAGGTCCGTTTTTTGCCCTCCCCAGGCTCCGGAGGCCGGAAACAGCCCATTTTCTGACTTCTGGTGGGCCTGGTAGGTCCATTTTTCACCCTCCCCAGGCTCCGGAGGCCGGAAATAGCCCATTTTCTGACTTCTGGTGGGCCCAGTAAGTCCATTTTTCACCCTCCCCAGGCTCCAGAGGCTTTCTAGGAGTCTGGGGAGGGTGAAAAATGGTCCAACACCCAAACCAGAAGTTCGGGAACGGACTTCTGGGTTGCCTGTTGGGCCGTTTTTCTCCCTCTGGAGGCTTCAGGAGGCTTCCCTGAAGCCTCCAGAGGGCGAAAAATGGGCGAAAATCAGCTGGTGCTGGAGCTGACAGGGCAATACCTTGCGTGCCCTCAGAAATGGCTCCACGTGGCCCCTGTGGCACGCATGCCATAGGTTTGCCAACATGGTCCTAGACCATTAAACACTAGTTTTGCTGTCTTTGTATTCTTGACCCCGTGGCTAGTGAAATCAGTTCCATTTGAATCAACTCTATCCATAAATGCTGATTGGTGACTACACTTAAAAGTAAACTGCAATATGTTAGTTAAGTGTATCTCTAAACTCAACAGTGCAAGCAAGGATCAATTCCGTGCCCCATGCTTATGAGGCTAACAATATATCCCAAAGTATTCAGGAATTCAGCCCAAAAGTTCTCTTACCATTTGAGTCCATGGGAAGGAGATTAACAGCATTGAGTACTTCAACGTGCAGTTTTTGTTCTGAGTGACGGTAAAAAGCTTTGATAGTCACAGCACCATATTTTTCAGGAGTGGCCTCTTCCTAAGAGACGAACAACCAGAAAAAATGTCAGAGAAAATGGTGATGTGCTGTCAAACATAAAAAAGCCAAAGTATTAAGGAAGCCAGAAGATAAACAATCCACCCCAAATCAGAAAGTCTGATACCATTGCACTGTACAGTTTTACAACTCATATTACCTGTTCCTAAATAAGGTACAAAATAATTAAACTGCATACTTTCCCATATTTACATGATCGATCATTGGATGGCTCTATCCCTCCCTGGCTAGCTGATTATCAAAGGGTTAAATTCCAACATCCATTATTTATAGACAGCAGGGACTATGATGAGGGAATCTGATATCTGGAAGGCCATACATTGCCCAAACTTCATTTTGCTCAAATAAGGACTTTCCTTTTTCTATGTAACAATTTGTTTATAAGTTTTTCTTTGAGACGATTATCAATTGTGGTGGGTAGATTTTAATTCCATCCTGAACAGTAATAAAAATTTACCACATTGCCTACAAAAATATTTAACATTTGTCATCGATGATGTAGGTCTTTTCAAAAATCAAACAGCACTTTATATCTTGTGATTTTTAAATATAGTGATCACACTATAAGCCTAAACCACTGCTTTATCTCAGATTGTAAATACTGTTTGATAATAGTTTCTTCTGATCTATGCAACTAATTGTGGAAAAAATGCAGTTATTTATATATATTGAAAATGTATGCATCTTCACTTAATTTACATGTTAGCATAAACTGCCCAATAACAACTTTTAAATTGCAAACAAATGACCGTTGTCTTACCTGAACGGTCCTTCTATGGGTGCTGCGAAGGGAATCCAATCATGGGTTAACTAAGCCCTCTAGCCTTGAGACTGAGTATGTAAATTTCTAAGCCACGCCTCCTCTGGCTGGACTTCCTTCCTCTATTCAGTCTCTTTACTCAGTCCAAGCCTACGAGACCTATCTCAATTTTCTCTTGACAATTTCTCAGGATTTCTACTTCTTTTGCTGGATTGTTACTGTGTATACTTTGGATTGGAGGTAAAGCGGCAGTTTCTGCCAGCCGATTCCTCCCCTTGCTGCTTCCACTCTGAGGATAGCCGGAGCGTAAGACGATCCTTGCCGTTGGCAAACGGCTTCTCCGTCTACCCTCCCCTTATTTCGGCGCGTAGGGATGCTGAGTCTCCCAGCGCCGCCCTTTCTATTGCCAGATAGCGCCCGCCTGCGGGCGCGGTCGAATCCGTGTCTGTGGCCTGACGGAGCTCATTCTCTCCTGTCGTTGTCTACCTCCCTCGTCCTCTCGCTGGAGCGGCTGCTGGAAGGTATAGGGATCAGCCGTTTTGGAAGTTCTTCCTGCCGTTACGTTTGAATTTCGCGCCCTTGAGGCCGATCGCCATTTTTTTGGAGCGATTTCGCGCATGCGCGATAGGCTCGGAATGAGGCAGCAGTTTCTTCGCGCGCTGAGTCTGCGCTCTATGTCTGCTCCTCCCCTTTCCCTCACTCGAGGCTGTTGGTTCAAGGAGGAGGTCGCTGCTCTCTTTGTCTCTG